TGGATGGATGGATGGATGGATGAATGGATGAATGGATGAATGGATGAATGTATACATCTACATACTCTCCCATACATACACACTTGCACATATACAGACATACATAAAAAAAAAGTTCAAACATACGCACATGCAAACAGATAATGATGATATATCTTATATGTCCTAAATTCAAATTATGATGCATTGTAAAGCACAACAAGTAAAATGAAAAACTGGAAGAATAATACTGATATTAATCAAAATGATTATTATTAGTAGTAATAAAAATAGTTATAAAAACACAAAATTAAAAAATAATTAACAGACATAATCAATTAAGAGCTAAATTAGATAAATCTTTCATATGTTTCAACAGAGGTATTGAGATTAATACAACTATATCAAAACTACATCAGTATTAACTTAAACAACAACAACGATAATAATAATAACAATAAAACAACAACAACAAAAAGACCGCGAAGATGATGACGTATTACAACTCGGCAACGAACAACAGCAACCCTTTGCACAACAACCGCATGCTAGGAATGAATGGAAACAACAACGCCAACAGCACCAGCAACAACAACAATCTCAGTAGCAACAGCTCGAACAACAACAACCCTAGTAACAGATCATCAAACGCTAACAGCAGCAGCAGCAGTAGCAGCAACAACAACAGCCACTCGACCACGACAACATCGTCGTCGACATCTTCCAACAACAACAACACCTACAACCCATTCCACCACAGGCAGTCCCTATCGGCCACAAGCCCCCTTCCATTAACCTACCCCCGCACGAACAACACCTCCACCCACCACCACCAACAACAGCAGCAGCAACATCACCACCACCAACAACAACAACCACACCAACAACAACAACCAGCGTTCCATCACCACCACCACCACCATGACTTCAGAGAACAATTCGGCGACCCTTCAATCCTAGACCCACCCTCTCACCATCACCACCCCCACCACCATGCCAACCCGGAACTCTATCTACCCCTTCATCAAGCATTCTCTCATCTACAATCTTACAAAGGAATCTCAGACCTAGGACCGAACAATCCGGCAAACTGTCTATCCCCTCAAGAGACTTCCGCCATGCTGTCCGTGGCCAACTTTCGGGACTACCTGAGTGCGGGTGGGGGGCCTGGCGGGCTA